ACTTAAATTCTTTCAGACCCAACCTAATGGATGTTGTGTATACATGGGCAAATGGAGCTAACTTTGCTCACATCTGCAAAATGACTGATGTCTTTGAAGGTATGGTAATCATTTCTTATTTAGGAGATGTGAGGTGGTAATGCCATAACGTGGAATGGTAATTCTGAATAACTTTGTAATAGATCACAAAATTTATTAACTCAGATGTATTCAAGTATCTGCACGGCTGAAACTACGTGGGAAACGTGGGAAAATATATTTTTCTCTACGTGTTAATTTGTAGTTACACTGCTGATAATTTAGAATCTACAGAAGACTTTTAAAAGGGATAACTCCACTTTGCTAGTTAAAGGGAAAAATATCCTTGTCCAAATGCTTGCCATTAAGAAACACATCTCTCTTGCTTGTCCTCATTTACAGTTAAGTGTTTTATTTACTTGGTAAATTGAAGGTTCCTCCTCCTATGACAGAAGTGAGAGGTGGTAAGCGAGTCTCCGTTTTGGATAGTTCATCACAGCAGTACAATGCAGATATTTGAAAAGCTAGATGTAACCTGTCACCTGGGTTGATTTGGTTCCTAAAATTGGAGTACTATAAACTGTCCCTTGAGGAAGGATATTTAGTTTTCATTATTTTAAAAGTAGGATGACTTTAAAGCCTGCATATTTTGTAAAAGACAAACCATCCACCTGGAGCTCAAACCAGAATTAAAAACGCTGATTTCATCTTTTACCACCAGCTATGTTGAAAGTTGTGAGGAAAGGTAGGATGAGTGCAGCAGTCTTACAAGTCTGTGTGTAATGACTGGTATTTGAAAATCCTTTTGAATTTGTTATTGTCAGCATTGTCTTGCCTCTCTCAAATGCTCCTTTCTTGTTTGTACTTACACAGTTGCAAAGGGGAGGCCTTAAAACAAAGGAATTAATGCCCTTCAGTGCACAGACCCAGGAACTTTCTAAAGCAGGTTGCCTATGAGCAACAGGAATACTGGCGGTCTTTTATTCTGCATTCAGCAGATTCCTTCTATTGCGGTGAATGTCTGAGCCCTACAGCTGCTGGAGAGGCACCCTGAGTAAGGGGAACACAAAATGAGAAGCAGTAGCTGGCTTATGTTTTTACATTGGCACTTGGCTGTTAGAATACATAGGGCAGTAACATTTTCCATTTATCATATTTGGGCTAAGGCCAGTTGTTCAGGTTTGTCCTGGTCAGCAGTGCTGGCTCACTCAAAATTAGATCTTACAGGCCTATTTTGAGAAGTTCAACTCTTGTGGCAAGGGTTGACGCATGGTTCTTCTCTTAATAGGCTGGTTTTCTGTGCATTGTCCAAAAGGAAGGAAAGCACTTCAGACATCCACTGTCAAATATGCTTACCTTAAATGCAGTGTGGCGTTGCTGAATCCCAGAGGAGTTTGCCCTGGTTAGCCAAGTTGCTATAGTGATTTCAAATAAATTAAAAACCAGAATACAAAAAACCAAACAACAAAACACAAATCAAAAACCACAGTGCCCTTATTTTGATCTTAAGTACAAAGTTTTGTTTTAGGTATTAGTGCTTTCTGTCTTAATTTCAATAGAGGTTGTTACCATGAGGTGCAGCATGATGACTTTAATTAAACATCTATTTTCCCCTTTGCCTTTTGGGCAATGTGGAATTAGCAATAATGAATTGCTGCTATTACAGGGAGTCCCAGCTTTACTATTCTTCAGTTTTAGTAAAGAGGCAGAAAATTGCCCAGCCATTAGAGTGTGCATTGGAAGCCACCACTTTTTTAAAACCAGTTTTTCATTGTCCCTCCCCCCCAGCTGTGCTTTTCATGTGTGAGAGACTGATGTTAGGTTTTGTGCTGCCATCCAGGTCCGCAGGCACTAGCAGAGCTTTTCTAGACAAAAGTCTTGAGTCATGGTATGCTTCCACTCGCACAAGAGAGATGGTGTTCTGCTACTCTATTATTATTGATGGTCAAGTATATGAAACCCCTTTTGGGTGCAGTTATGAGAAGTGTGAAAGCTTGCAGTTGTGGCAGGTAAATGGCTGCAGCATAAGCCTAAGTGCTCCAAGAGCAAGCGTGGTGCTTGCCACAGATCGGAGTGGTGTTGGTTGACTAATAAAAATGAGTTGTCAATAAGCTGTAATGTGTGTGTTGGGAAGAAACAGCTTTTTAAAGCTGTAGAATGGTAAACTGAGCTAAGTATCCTATTAATCAGTTGCTTGTTGACTGTTTTGTTTTGTGGAAGTAAGTACAGACAACAGTAATTTATTCCAAAAATGCAGGTTTTTTTTTCATGTGCCAAAAAAGTATGTCTGGAGTAACCCCAGCTATGCTGCCTGTAAATGAGTGCTCCCTGGGAGGGTTTTCAGGGTTGGCCTTGTAAATGGAGATGAGCAGGATCTTCGAGAGCTGAGCCGGGGCCTGCCGCAATGCAGCGTGCCCATGCTCAGGGGAGATGCTCATTCACTTGCTTTGGCTTTGTGTCCAACAGACTATGTATGGGTTTACAATAGGTTTTAAGACTGCTGCCCCCTCACAGACTTTCCTTACTGTATAAACTGACACAGCCTACTGGTACCATATGAACATTTTCTAGAAGAGTGTTATTTTACTTTCCTTAATATTTCACTTTCCCAGTGGCTTTGTGGAATGTTCTTTTCACATGGGTATTTTTTCTCCAGATACTATGCTTTGTTCAGAGCTAGTATTTCATTGTATCAGAGAAGGGTCACCTAGTCCAACCCTCCTGCAGTGAGCAGAGACATCTTCAACTAGATCAGGTTGCTCAGAGCCCTGTCCAGCCTGACTGTAAATGTTTCCAGGGGTGGGGCATCTAGGACCTCTCTGGGCAACCTGTTCCAGTGTTTCACCACCCTCATTGTAAACATTTCGTCTTTGTATTGTCTAAATCTGCCCTCTTTTAGTTTAAAACCATTACCCCTTGTCCTGTTGCTACAGGCCCTACTGAAAAGTGTATTCCCATCTTTGTTATGAGCCGCTTGTAAGTACTGGAAGGCTGCAGTAAGGTCTCCCTGGAGCCTTCCCTTCTCCAAGCTGAACAACCCCAACTCTCTCAGCCTGTCTTCGTAAGGGAGATGTTCTGTCCCTCTGATAATTTTTGTGGCCCTCCTCTAGACTCACTCCAGTTGGTCCATGTCCTCTTTATGTTGGGGACCCCAGAGTTGGATGCAGTACTCCAGGTGTGGTCTCAGGAGAGCAGAGCAGAGGGGGAGAATCACCTCCCTCAACCTGCTGCTAATGCTTCTTTGGAGGCCGCCCTGGATACAGCTGGCTGTCTGGGCTGTGAGTGCACACTGCCGGGTCATGTCCAGTACCCTCCAGTCCTTTTCTGCAGGGCTGCTCTCAATCCCTTCATGCCATATTTACCCTATGACAGTTATTTGGCACACAGTAGTTTTGACTGTAGCTGTGAGACGATTTTGGAGGAAATGACCAAACAGCATGTTTGCATGCTGCTAGAACATAAGCATTAGGGTCAGTTTGTTAAAATTACTTCTCAGTTTGGCCCAAGTCACTGTAAGTTAGGAGAGGAGATGAATGCATAACCACAGTGGGTATGAGATTGCAGTGCAGGAGCTATGTCAGGACTGAGCTTGTATGCATCACTGCAAGCATGCAGTGAGTGGCAAAGGAGTAGTAAGGTAGGGTAGACCACTTACTGTCTCCCTGGCTCTTCCAACTAAAGAACTAAGGGCTACCAAAAAATAAAAAAATAAACATCCCCCTCTCCTCCCTCCCCC